AATTTGTTTTTGCATTTAAGTGGATTGAACATATATATGTATTTGTATATATGTGTGTGTGTGTGTATGTATATATATATATATATATATATATATATATATATACACACACACACACACACCGTTATATAAATATAACTTTGTCCAGTACTTTCTTTTTGCTTGAAATATATTGAACAGCAAATATGAAATGTTTTTTGTGTGTGACTAGCAAGCTTCAAAATACATTTAGATTTTTGTTTTAACCATGAAAACATTTTTAATCCATACGTGAAAAGGTCAAAGGTTTATTGTTAAGCATCTTTAGTCTTCAGATTCAGTTGTTTAATGGTTTACAACACAAAGCTTTGTGTGTGTATTTGTGTGTGTATTGATTGTGAAATGTTTGAGTGAAAGCGAGTTTATGCATCTTTATTTATAATAAATGCCTCTTATTTTGATGTATATCAAGCCAGAATAAATTAATATATGTATATTGAGCCAGATGTATGTTGCATTATATTGTTGGACTCTTGTTTTGATTTAGCTGTTGTCACACTCATGTATATGCACATTTTGAATTTTATAAGTTTTACATTAACATTAATACAGTGTTCATTAGGGAAAAAAACAGATTATTGCAAATTTTTACAGATATTTGACATGTTAGACGTCAAATTGCTGCTTAAGGAATGCATTCGTTGGTTTAATGTTACAACCTAATTAATTTTACAATTCACTCGACTTTTAAACTGAAACTCCATTTTTATGAAAAGAATATTCATGCATCTTCAAATTAGCGATGTTTGTTTTGATGTTTTGTAATGTTTATCAAATGTGTGTGTTTGTGTTTGTTTGTGTGTCTGTGTGAGTGTGTGTCTGTATTTGCATTTATGTGTGTGTGACCGTTTGTTTGGGTTTGTGCATTTGCTTCTGTTTGTTTGTTTATTTGTGCATCTTTGTTTATGTTTGTGAATGTTAATTTGTGTTTTTTATGTGTTTGTGTGTGTTTTTGTTTTATGTGTTTGAGTGTGTTTCTGTTTGTCTGTGTTTGCTTTTGCGTGTGCTTGGGCTTGCGCGTGCTTATGTATGCGTATTTATTTGTTTGTGTTTTTGCGTGTGTGTGTGTGTGTGTGCGCGTGCACGTGTGTGCATGTATGTGTGCGTGCATGCGCATGCGCGTGCGTGTGTGTTTTCAGGTGGAGAGATGTCGGATCAGCAGGGAGTCCCAGATCAGCAGGTGGCTGGGAAAAGCCAAGGAGGAGCAGGAGCGATCTACAAGGTCCAAACACACTCATCCATACACATTTATTATTTCATTATTATTCACAAAAGAATTGTTTTAATATCTTTTATAGTCTGTTTTTAATGTTTTTTTAAGTAGGATCTGTTCAAATACATTATCAATTGATCAGCATGTACAGTTGAAGTCAGAATTATTAGCCCCCCTGAGTTATTTGACCGCTTGTTTATTTTTTCCCCAATTTCTGTTTTAACAGAGAGAAGATTTGTTCAGCACATTTGTAAACAAAATAGTTTTAATAACTCATTTCTAATAACTGATTTATTTTATCTTTGTCATGATGACAGTAAATAATAATTGACTAGATATTTTTTCAAGACACTTCTATACAGCTTAAAGTGACATTTAAAGGCTTAACTAGGTTAATTAGGTTAACTAGGCAGGTTAGGGTAATTAGGCAAGTTATTGTATAACGATGGTTTGTTCTGTAGACTATCAGAAACAATTGCTTAAAGAGCCTAATAATTTTTACCTTAAAATGGTGATTTAAAAATTAAAAACTGCTTTTAATCAAGCCGAAATAAAACAAATAAGACTTTCTCCATGAAGAAACAATATTATCAGACATACTGTGAAAATTTCCTCGCTCTGTTAAACATCATTTAGGAAATATTTGAAAAAGAAGAAACAATCAAAGGGGGGCTAATAATTCTGCTTCAACTCTATATTAATTGTGACTTTATGACTTTAGTGGGATTAAGGTCATCAAAAATGGCTGTTTACATGGTAGACTCTTAATCAGAGTATTGACTTAATTATATTAAAATCAGAGTATTGGCACCTTAATATGTGTTGAATCATCTGAGCAGGTCTCACTGTATGAATTCGAGAACTTCCGTGGGAAAAAGCTGGAGCTGTCAGCAGAATGCAAGGACCTGATTGAGAAGAACTTGGAGAAAGTGGGATCAATCATAGTTGAGTCCGGCCCGTGAGTACAAACGCTCTCAAAACTGCTTTATTCTGCAACAAGCAAGTGCTGCAGGATTTACTTTTATGGTAGTTTTTTGCTCAGAACTTGCTTTTAAATTCCGCAAATGTAGAAAGTATGTAGTGTTCATATAAAGTAATTAAAATAAACACTAACGCCCCATTCACATGGGGCTTCAGCGTCAATGCTTGACTGAAGGCGTGTCTGAAGTTGGGGCTGAAGCGATCGTCATAGAAGCGTCAGCCAATGAAATTCAGTCAGCAATAGGCCACTGTCTAGCTGGTGTATTTGCATACAGCGATCTGATTGGCTGACGCTTCCGTCGGCGCTTGAAAAGTTGAGCTACTCCCAACTTCTGCAGCTAGCAACGCCTCTGAAGTGGCGCTGACGGATCCACAATGCAGTTCGGCAAAGCCAGACGTCACCCATTCAAAGTGAATGGGAAGCGTTGACGCTGACGCCTCATGTGAATGGGGTGTAAGGGGTCTATTTTAATGTTCTAGGCACAAAGTGTGAAGCACAGGGCTTAAAAGCATGAAGGGTGTGTCCGAATCCACTTTAGCTATTTTAAGGATGGAAAAATCCGCCTTGTGCCATGGCGCATGGTCTAACAGGGTTGAGCTTATTCTTTTAATGAGTTATAGGTGTGTTTTGAGCATAAACCAATTAGAGTCTCATCTCCCATTCCCTTTAAGAGTCAGTTGTGTCATGCTATGGCACATTTGCTATTTACATGGCGGACTTTGTAAGTGGAAAAACTGAGCATTTCACTAGCAAGAAAACAGTTAAACAGAGCATCTACAGCGCCAGAATGAGAGATGAGCCTTCTCCAATCGGCCTCTTTACTTTCACTTTTTTTCGTGGAGTAAGGAAACGTGTTGTACGCACAGATATTCATGTTTAGTTTCATTTTAGATTTTTTCAAAACTATTTCTAAATTCAGTTGTATTTTCCAGCAAACGAATAAATGAACAATAATAATGAAGTGTGAAAAAGTTATATCCAAACACATGTGCTGTGCCTTATATGGTCCAAAACCTGCAGGTGGGCAAATCTAAGCTTGTTTTTAATAAAACAAATATAAATATGCATTTAATAAATAATACTGCTAATAATAATAACATTATACAAAAGCAAATTGTCTTGAATAAACTGAAAAAGCCCCCCTAGAGGAAGAAGGCATAGAGGAAAGGGTTATTATATTTCTGTAGAAAGTAATAATTATTGTAATATTTTATTTCTTCAATTCCTTTACATTTTTAAAGATATTTGCGTATTGCTGTACATCTTGTGTGTATTAAACAATTTGTAAGTGAGGTGCACAACTAATGCCGAGTTCAGACTGCAGAATTTTCAAAGTAGTCGTGTCACAGATGTTTTCACATTGCATGACTATCTGAGGTAGCGTTTTTTACAATAGGAAAAATCGCTGATAACTTAATCTTAACTACATCTCACAGCCAAACACACATAGTATATATCTCTTGTTATTAACCATATAATGAGAAAGAAGCCTTTAATGGGGTAGAAAATGTACATATTCGCTCACCTGGGTTTGAAGGGAATTAGCCATTTCTCCTCAACTTTCTTTTTTAACTTTCTGAATGAAACGTCAAACAGACATGGGTGCTCCTGTCAAACCTCCTCTAGTTTTTCCTCCATTTCTTGGATCCAAATAAACCAAAAATGAGCACTTTAACTTCTCCCTCAACCTCCCGCTGGCCAGCAGGTACACGCACACAAGTGAATGCTGCTCTCTCATTGGCTGTAGACGATCGCCGATGTTATTTTCCGTCAAAACTCTTTTCACACGGCATGATTTGAATCGCCGACAGCTCCAGATATTCAGCACGCCTAATATCTTACAGGCATGGGCGACTCATCGGCGATTTTCTCTGATCGCATATTTGATAGTTCACACTGTGTGATTGTCTCTCATGTGCAAGAGCACCGATTTGCCTGTGATTTCAGGCATTTGTCTGCGATTTCTCAAAAGCTGTCGGCGAGCCAAAATCAAGGCTAAAATCATGCAGTCTGAACTTGTGTTCTCTGCGCTGGACTTTAGAGCAGCTTTGAGCTGGTCTATTGTGCAGTCTATTTTAGCTCCTTAAAATAGCAATGCTCCAGCAATGCGCTTTAACACACCTCCTTTTCAGGAGGGCGCACATATGAGCGCAAATGCATTTGCTATTTAAACAGCGTGCTGCAAAACGTCAAAGTGTCCAGCTGAAACTAGCAAATAACATTTGCCTCGCGGCTTGCGCTACATTGCGCTGAGTGTATGATAGGGCCCTAAATGTTACTAGATATTAAAGTTTAAGGACAAACTTTATGGTGGCCGAGTCTGAAAGTTTGAAGTCGTTTTAAGTGTAAATAACTGAAGTAGTTTTTATGGAGTTTGAAACAGTCGGCATAGATAAGTACATATATGTTAGCATGTTTTGTATAGATTGGCATGCTTCTTGGTTGGTGGTTACTAGGGTGTTCTGAGTGGCTGCTAAAGCGATGCTAGGTTATTGCTAAGGTGTTGATAGGCGGTTTCTAAAGTATTCTGAGTGGTTGCCAGGCAGCTGCTAACATAAACTAGCATGATTCTAGCATGAATTAGCATGCATGATTCTAGCATGAAATGGTATGCTTCTAGCATGAATAAGCATGTTGTTAGTAGATTCTTGCATGATTTAGCATTTTACTAGCATGTTTCTAGCATAAATTAGCATGCTGTTAGCATGATTATAGCATGAATTAGACGTTTTTAAGAAGAAAGAACACTGAAATAGTACTTAGTTGTCTACAAATTTTATTTGATATTTTCTGACACCATATATTTATTGCAACCAGAGGTACAATTCAACCAAAAATAAAGATCCTGTCATTATTTACCCACCTGTAGGACTTTCCTTCTTCTGTCTTCTTGACAGCAAATGTTGAACATATGGATCTGAAAACTATTATGAAGTAGTAAAAAGAAAGATGCTTTAGCTAACTCAATTCAATTCAGCTTTATTTGTATAGCGCTTTTACAATGTAGATTGTGTCAAAGCAGCTTCACATAAATGGTCATAGTAACTGGAACAGTGTGGTTCAGTAACTGTAACAGTGTGGTTCAGGTTTTAGTGTTTAAGTTCAGTTCAGTTCAGTTTAGCTCAGTTCAGTGTGATTTAATCATTACTGAGAGTTCAAACACTGAAGAGCAAATTCATCGATGCGTAGCTCTACCAATCCTGAACCATGCGAGGCAGTGGCGACAGCGGAGAGGGAAAAAAAACTTCACCTGATGAGAGTGAAGAAAAAAAACCTTGAGAGAACCAGACTCAGTTGGGCACGACCATTTTAATTTCTCCGCTGGCCAAAAGTCTAGTGCAGAACTTCATTCACTCACTAATTTAATGATAAAGAAAATACAGTAAGAGCTGCAGTTTCTGACATCTTTACACCTAAGAACTAATTAAGGCACAAAATTAAATTATTTAAATATTATGGATAGGTTAATAAAGGTATAAGCCAATTATAATAAAATATCATTAGATTGTTCGGTGCAATTGACTAGATGGAAAACTGTTAATTACAAAATTACAACTGACTGTAAAATCACTATTAAATACTTTAATTATTACAATTATTTAGTTAAAATTGAATAAAACTAATAAAATTAAACTAAAAGCAGTATTTTCTGTTTTCAATTTATTTTATTAGTTTTATTCAATTTAAACTAAATAATTTTAAATCTCTGGCTCTTTCTGTGTGTTTGTGTTTGTGTCATATCATCAACAAATAAGCTAAAACTTTGCGATAACGTATTCTTAGTACATGTTTACTCTACTTACTATAGTAAATACAATTGATTATGTATAGTTTTACATAATTAATCCTAAACTGCATTCTAACCATTTAATAAGTACATGTGCTTAATTAATTAGTATTACTTGGTAGTTAAATGCATAGTTACACTGTAACAAGGACACCTTAAAATAAAGTGTAACCAACAATAACTTTGAGATATTTAGGATCACTGGAGTACCCACATACTGTATGGGTACCTACATAGTCTATATTAAAAGTCTTTAAATATTTTATATTTGCTTTCATTTTCTATTGCATAACTTCTGTTTCTCGATAATTTAGATTCTTAATTATATTCTTATTTTTGTTATTGTTGTTATTATTTTACGGTCACGAGTGGTTGACTGTATGAATTTGAATGTTAAATTAGAATTTTGAAATTGAATTTTTAATTTGTATTTTGAATTTGATTTCGAATTTTACATTTAAATTTGAAATTTGAAATTAAAATTTTGAATTTGAATTTGTTTATTTAAAATTTGAATTTTGACATTTGAATTTGAATTTAAAATTAGAATTTTGAATTTTGAATTGCCAAATAAACCAAATTTTGAATTTGGTTTAAAAATTTTCATTTGAATTTTGAATTTTTACGTTTGAATTTTTGTAATAAAATTTGACAAAAAAAATTCATTTGAATTTTGAATTTAAATGTTGAATTTGAATTTTGAATTGACCTCAACTACTAAAATATCTTAATAAAAGGAATTTGTGTGACAAAACCGTTTAGGAATTCCTGCTTTATTCAAAAGAAATGCTCCGTTTATCCCTCATGATATGATATTGTCATCATAGATGGGTGGGCTTTGAGCAGAAGGGCTTTTTGGGAGAGCAGTTTGTCCTGGAGAAGGGAGAATACCCCCGCTGGAGCACCTGGACCAACAGCCAGAACAGCTTTTGCCTGCTGTCCATCAGACCCCTACGTGTGGTGAGCGACACATTCACACTCATTACACACACACATATTACCCAAAACCTGAGGCCTGTACCATGAAGCTAGTTTACCTGGTTAGCCGGATAAGTTTAGTTTGCACAAACTCTGGATTGAAAGGGAACCTATTATGCAAAAATCACTTTTATAAAGGATTAAACACAGTTCTCTTAAATGATAAAAATGTATTAACTTAATTATAAAAATCACACTTGATACAAACAGTCTGTAGAAGCAGATTGGATTGTTGGAAGATAGGACAGATAGCCCCACCTTAAAGGACTGATATCCCTGCCCTGAATGACTTATAGCTCTGCCCTAAAGGAGTTATTGCCCCATCTTAAAAGACTGATAGCCCCGCCTTGAAGAACTAATAGCCCCGCCCCAAATGACTGATAGCCCCACCTTAAATTACTGATAGCACTGCCTTAAAGAGATACTCCCGCCCTAAATTGCTAATAGCCCTGTTCTAATGGACCAATAGCCCCACCTTAAAAGTCTAATAGCCCCGCCTTAAAGGAGTGATTGATAGACATTAAAAACTATAATTAATAATGAGTCGCTTATTTATCAGGGTTCGCCACAGCAGAATTAACCGCCAACTATTCTAGCATATGTTTTACACAGCTGATGCACTTCTAGCCGCAACCCAGTACTGGGAAACACCCATACACTTTCACACACTCAAACACTACGGCCAATTTAGTTTATTCAATTCACCTGTACCGCATGTCTTTGGAAATGTGGGGGAAACAGGAGCACCAGGAGGAAACCCACGACGACACAGGGAGAACATGCAAACTCCACACAGAAATGCCAACTGACCCAGCCGGGACTCGAACCGGCGACCTTCTTGCTGTGAGGCAACAGTGCTAACCACCATGCTGCAAAATTTCTCTATCAAATTCTTCATTTGAAGTTTATACCTCGTAAAGATTTTTTTTTTATGTAAACCAGTGTTTTTTGTACATTTTAATTATTTAAATCTGAGTTCATAGTATAACCGCTGAATCTAGTGTTTGTGCTCCATCCTCAGGATAGCGCAGACCACAAACTACATCTGTTTGAGAACTGCAGCTTCGCCGGGAGAAAGATGGAAATCGTGGACGATGACATTCCCAGTTTGTGGGTTCATGGCTTCCAGGATCGTGTGGCCAGTGCGAAAGCTGTCAACGGAACGTGAGTATAAAAAGTTATAAAAAGTCCATTACCCCTTAAAGATTATTTTTAACACTGTCTTGATCCTTGGCTTGTGATTTATTGACCTTATTTTACATATAAAAAGCAACCTTGTAACCTTATTGTGTCGAGACCTCCCATCTTATTCACTTCCGTTCATTCTTAGTCATATAAACTCATTATGTGAGGTAGATGCTAACAGGGGTGCGGATCCAAATGCAGGTTTATTAAGACAGAGATGGTCAGGCATGATCAACACGGGAGTAAACAGATGTATAAGGGCAATCCAGAGACATAGTCAAAATAACAGGCAGATGGTCAAAAAGGCAGGCAGCATACAGCGTAAACAAACAAAACAAGGTAATAAAAGGAAACGCGTTGTAATGTCACTAAGCAGTAAACAAGACTCAGCCAATGAGATGTGTGTGTGTGCGCTGTATTTAAAGTCCATTTAATCAGTTTGTAATGATCCTCCGGCTGTGTGTATGCAATCAGTCATGATCAGGAACTGGTGATGTGTGTGTGGTGCATGACTGGGCTTTGTAGTTCATTATGAAGCAGGATTGTAGTTCTTTAGTGAACTGTGTGTTTACCAGTGATCTGCACAAGCTGGATTGCTGGGGATTTTGACATTATGCTGACTGATGTTTCAAACTGGTGTTTTCTTATAATATTTTCTATCATTTGACTGTATTATCATCAACACACCAGTTTGTAGATCAAGTAGTTTGTCTGATTACTGTGATTTGTCATTCCTAGTCATGTATGTGTGCATGTGCGTATGTGTGTAACTTTACTTCCTTCTCTTTCCCTTGTGTTAATCTCATCTGTTCAGCATTAATTCCCTATGAAGTGTCACCGAATATGGCATCCATGCCATATATACCACATCAACCATTACATTACACAGAGATCAAGTCATCAGAGCCTTGCACAACAGCTTCATCATGAGATTATAGACTCTGCAGTGAATTATTAGAGTTACCATAGAACAGGGGTGTCCAAACTCCGTCCTGGAGGGCCGGTGTCCGGCAGATTTTAGCTCCAACTTACCTCAACACACCTGCAAGGATGTTTCTAGAAGGCCTAGTAGCAGCTTGATTAGCTAGCCCAGGTGTGTCTGATTGGGGTTGGAACTTAACTTTGCAGGACTCCGGTCCTCCAGGACCGAGTTTAGACATGCCTGCCATAGAAAGAAGGTCAAAGTGGATAACATTTACTTAATTTCTTATGCTTTAAATAATGTTGATGTTGAACACTGTTCGTGTGCATGTACAAGTTTGGTTTACAGGGACATAATGTTGTACAATGACTTGGGTTTGACCAAAGCAATCTCATGGCAATTTGTAACTTTTTAATTTAGTGGCTTATTTGTATGAATTTGTACGATCTCGTTCCTACAGTTAAGTACGATTTGCTCATCCCCCGATGGCGGTTTGGTTTAGGGGCGGGGTTGGATGCCATGCCTCCATTTCAAAATCGTACATTTTCGAACGTCTGAACGACTGAAATTTACGTTTAGTTATGTTTCCTTGTGAGATCAGGCTGGTTTGACTGAAGGCCCGCTCACACTGTGAGATTTTTCACACGATCGCAGCATTTCAGACTGCACAAACATGGCTCCCGTGTCACACTGTAAGATCCTAGCTGTCATAAAGTTAGACTGAACGACATTGAACAAGAAAGAAAACGCCCCGGAGTTTCACGTCATCCACTTTCACTGTCCCGCGTTCTGAAATGATTCCTCACAGCCAATGTAAACTATCTGTAGCAGCAATTTTGCAGACTACACGTCTCAATAATAAAACCAGGAAGAAAAAAACGTTTTTGACCAAACTGTTTTGATTTGTCGCATGAATTGCGTCATCAATTTCAGAGTTCCTATTGGTTCTTGGATTGACACTCATCGCAGCTGTTGTCACACTGCAGGAAAGTGTCTGAAATCTGACACTGCCATAACTTCATCAGAGAAAAAATCTGATCATAACGAGCTGTCAGTGAACATGTCAAACCCACGATCAAACATCACAGATTTTAGCCTAGAATCTAGAATTTTCAGAAATCTTTTAGGATTTCTGGAATCTTTTAGGGTTTCCCAAATTTGTCTCAGATAACAAAATCATGACTGAAATCTCACAGTGTGAGCAGGGTTTAAGATTTAAGCTTTATAAATCCTCTTGGGACAATTTATTCCAACATAGTTGTGCTATATATATATATATATATATATATATATATATATATATATATATATATATATATATATATATATATATAT